TGGCAGCAACTCATACAAACCTTGGCAGCAATCCAGCCTGCCAAGTTAGTTTCTCTTTAGTCAAAGCATTGACTTCTGCAGAAGGGTGTGTCACCAGCAGTCTTTTTTATAGTCTGGAGAGGAGCCTAATGACCACCAGCTGAGCGCAATTACCTCCTGTAATTGCGTAATTGTTCCTGACGCCGAGTAGGTTCTCGATGGTGTGCATCCAGGAACAACTCACTGCTGGTTTCTGGATCACTCTCCCTTGTCTCCTCCCCACTGGTCCAAGGCTCAGGCGCCACCTAGTGGCCAACCAGTCTCTCTGCGCCCTGCTCGGAGTCGGAAGCCTGTCCAGGGTCCTCCACATCCTCCAGGCCGACTCATAGGGCCCCTCGCTGTCGGAGTCTGGTGGCAGCTCCAAGGCTCCTGCTAGGCCACAACACAGACCTATAGTCCTTTCTGTATTTCTAAGCATTGTAGATAATAAAACGTCTTGATTTTTGCCATCTTGTTTCTAAATTCAATAGCTGGAACAAATCACTTTTATAAAAAATGGAAGATTATAGTGGGTCAGCTTCTGAGTTTACAGAGAACAATTTTTTTTACTGGTTTTCAACGCTAAGATATTCTGAGACATTTGGGTTCATGGGTAATATACACCCATTAGATAAATCCTTTTTTCTTTCTTTTTTTTGCCATTCAGATAATTTTAAAATATAAATAAGTTATGTTGAAAAGTATCTTAAAATAGGTTTTAGAAAACATCTGATTATATACCGGTAGAGGCCTCGCGTTTCATCTATTTCTGTTGAAGCATCATCACACACGGCACAAACATAATGGTAGGTTCTGCGGCAGCTTTTGATCTCACAGCCAATGGTTGCTCCCCTCTGGTGACACCAACTGCACATCTGTATGGAAACAAATCGAAACCACTTTTTAAACCACAGTTTATAAAGCTAGGAAGTGTCATTAGACCCATTTACTTCTCCATCACCCATCACATGCTGGCTTCTGTGCTGTGATTCTGTTTAAACTAAACCACTTAGAGTAAAGTGTAATCTCTGCTTTGTAACAAGAATATGAAACCACATGGGAATTGTATTTACTAATATCCTGACCTGAAATGGATTAAATAAGAGAAAGTATTTGCCTCAATGCTTTCAGACAGCAAATAGTTGTTATTGGAACGGGGCTGTTAAACTTATTTTGTTTAATTGCTACTCATGATGACAGACTGTGTAACTGGGGCTCCCTAAAGATTTGTGCTTTCTAGTTCAATTAAATAACACTGCTCCTCTACAGGGAGGTTAACTGAATTATTTTTATTCATTTTTCTCTGTCAATTCCCCCCCAAAACCCTTTTTACTCTCCCAGTATTTTAAAATGGGGGAGAAAACAGCAGTAGGATCAAAAGTCTTTCTATCAATGAGATGGGGGACTTAGTAGATTATTGGTTCATATTATAATATTTAATATCATTTCATATTTGGACATTCCAAATGCTTAATGTGAAAATAAATTATTTTAAGTAATTCTGATATAGAATTTTAAAACATGAAAAATGTCTTACCAGCTTCCTTCCTCTCTTTATTTCATCCACTACTGAAGCCACATCAAACCTTTTATTAAGATCCTCAGGGTTCTGTTCTTCCGATTCCACAAATCCTGAAGAGAATAACTAGAAATAAATAAAAAAGTAAGATTTAAAACAAGAGGACATGATGAAATTAAATATTAAAAATAGCAGCAGGTTAAGCGGGATGCCTTGAAAATTCTGTTCTCCGGACCTTGATCCTCAGGGAGAAAAATGAGGAAAAAAGGCTCTCTGCCTCTCATTGTCTATAAATAGGTACACCAACAAATGCGCGCTCGACAAAAACGCGCCGACGAAACCGCAGCGAGAAAACCATGAATTCGAAATCGCACTGACGAATGAGCGCAGCAGCATGCTGACAACAGCGCGCCGACAGAAGCGCGCTCTAAACCTAACCCTAAACCTAACCCTAAACCTAACCCTAAACCTAACCCTACACCTAACCCTAAACCTAACCCTGAACCTAACCCTAACCCTTACCCTAACCCTTATCCTTACCCTTACTCTAACCTTAACCGTAATCGCGCTTCTGTGGGTGCTCTTTTGTCGGTGCGCCTTTGTGGGCGTGCTGTCGACGTCACAGTTTTAGCGCTGCGATTTTGTCGGTGCGCTGTTGTCAGGCGCGCATTTGTCGGGTCACGCTATAAATAAAAGGCTGTGTATGCACAAGGCCCCAGGCTATAAACTGGGAGATCCTGAGTTCTTAGTCCTATTTTAGACATGAAAGCCAGCTGGGTGACTTTGAGCCAGTCACTCTTTCTCAGCTCAACACACCTAACAGGGTGGTTGTTGTGGGGACAATAGGAGGAGGGAGGAATATTAGATATGTTAGACACCTTATGTTATTTACAGAAATAATAAAGGCAGGATATTAATTAATTATTTAAAGTATAGTGCCATCAAAGTCTGCAAAATATGGATTACATGAACATAAAGAAAGGCATAAGCAAAAGGTCAGAGAAATAGAGGAATGGACTCACAATTTATTATAGCAATTGCCTGGAATGGTCATTTATGTTCCTAAACAATCTCTGCTGTATATTAACATACCACTATAAAAATGTTATTTTTATAGAATTATCAGAATTATAGTGCTTCTTCCAAAAAAAATTAGTCCTATTATGGCCTTCTTGTACGCCAGTCTACTTTAAGCCAGGAACATATTTAAATTTTAACTCTTGAAACTGTAGTGCATACCTATAAAAGTATAGTACATGTGCCATAAAAGAAATGTTTATCAATTATGAATTGCCTCACAAGTGCTTCAGATCTTTTTTCATTTTCCAATCAGTTATGGACACATTTTGAATGTCATTAGCAAACCTCACCAAACATTCCTGGTGAACTGCAAGATTCCGTTCTTCAGCAATGTACATAATCGCAGACGGTTCATCATCTGGACAAAACGCACACTTTCTTTTTATCATCTTTGCCATTTGCAACACCCTAGAAAAATATTTTAGAGATTAAAACACTATTAACCCATCATCCTAAATGGCTCTAAACAGTACATTTAAAAAAAATGCACTATTTCACAAGCTAGTATCCTCTAGCACTACTGATATTTTGCTTTTAATGTCTTGACATGGGGCTCAAAAACATTTAATTAGAAAAATGTTTAAATCTGTCTCTGAACTCCAATCAGCCCTCTAAAAAAGTTTAAGAAGATATTCTTTAAGAAGAATCCGAAATATGTGTGGTTTCATAAGATGAGAGACTATTATATTATAAGAAAAAAAAAATCCTTGCATATTCAAGATGCGCTTTCTAGCATCTTCAGTTGTAAAATCCTAGATAGCATTTTTGGTCTAATACCTCATAAGGTTGTTCTCAGTTCTGTTTGTGAAACAGATACTGTACATGAGTTAAAATACAAATATAAAAACAATGAGAACAAAGCTAGAAATTAAAATGAGTAATCTGCTTCTCAGGATTAATTCAAATTTCACACACACACACACACACACAATTTCATAATGGTAATAATACTAATATTGAAAATAAAGAAGATCAATTTCTGTGTTATTCATTACCGGCCAAATACACAGAGTTCTTTCAAGGGATTATTATTGTAAGATAATAACTTTTCATATCCTCAGTATAACCAGACAATCCTGTTTTAAATTTGGCAATATAAAACTGGTGGGAAACAATGTCCAATTCTAAACTGCTTCCAGCCAATTTAGATAAGCTTTTTAAGAAG